TCTGCCCTTGTGTCTAGTTAACCCATTGAGTCACATTACACCCTGATGCACCCTACTTTAGTATTTTACTCTGTCTAATGCCAGACGATTTTACTCGTCAAGGGGAGAGCGCTGGCACTTAATGGGTTAACTGGCCTATCTGCCCTTGTGTCTAGTTAACCCATTGAGTCACATTACACCCTGATGCACCCTACTTTAGTATTTTACTCTGTCTAATGCCAGACGATTTTACTCGTCAAGGGGAGAGCGCTGGCACTTAATGGGTTAACTGGCCTATCTGCCCTTGTGTCTAGTTAACCCATTGAGTCACATTACACCCTGATGCACCCTACTTTAGTATTTTACTCTGTCTAATGCCAGACGATTTTACTCGTCAAGGGGAGAGCGCTGGCACTTAATGGGTTAACTGGCCTATCTGCCCTTGTGTCTAGTTAACCCATTGAGTCACATTACACCCTGATGCACCCTACTTTAGTATTTTACTCTGTCTAATGCCAGACGATTTTACTCGTCAAGGGGAGAGCGCTGGCACTTAATGGGTTAACTGGCCTATCTGCCCTTGTGTCTAGTTAACCCATTGAGTCACATTACACCCTGATGCACCCTACTTTAGTATTTTACTCTGTCTAATGCCAGACGATTTTACTCGTCAAGGGGAGAGCGCTGGCACTTAATGGGTTAACTGGCCTATCTGCCCTTGTGTCTAGTTAACCCATTGAGTCACATTACACCCTGATGCACCCTACTTTAGTATTTTACTCTGTCTAATGCCAGACGATTTTACTCGTCAAGGGGAGAGCGCTGGCACTTAATGGGTTAATAAATAAATAAATAAGTATCTTTCATGAACAGTTGACATTTAACAACAGTTTAGCTAATCCAATACTTGTTCCTTTAAGCTCAATATTGATAAAGAAACAGAAACTAAAGGAATGGCAGAAACACCAACATGTTTTTGGCAAAGGAAACAACATAGAATCTCTACGAGATGACTATATACAAACGCCAATGGAGGTCGAGACTGATTCTACCGGTAAGCATGTTCGCACTTTGACAATGCTGTTTTCAAAGAGAAGTTTGAGGCCATATTTACATTGTATCAGATAGCTTGCATAGCGATGCAAAAACCATACCGTATCAGGGTTTTTTGAATCTTGAATTGAGTTTTGAAACTCAATCTTCTCACCAAAGTTTCAGTGCAGTAAAAATGAAGTTGTTTGAGTTAAATTCATGACGTGTGGAAATTAGTTTTCAGTTGGAAACCCGACAATTAAGAAAAAGTGGCTGGAATTCATCTCACAACACAAGAAAAACTAGGCATTTGCCATCTTTAACCAGTTTATAGTGTCCCTTAGTGCCCCTGCTCTAACACATTCCGTCTCAACTACATTATATTGAGTACATGTGTCAGCCTCCCAGTAGGGGTGTGGGGGGGGGGGGGGGGCGGCCCCCCCGCC